CCAACTGCCAGCCTGAAATTTAACTGCTACTTTGTCTTGTGTCAGTTATACGCACCCATATAATCTGTTGTGATGAATTTCATAGGCTCAGCTGTATTACATACTTTTGGGCCACCCTGTATACACATAGTGTTATTGTCTCTGGTGGTGACCAGCTTAGGTTGCAACCATTTTGTGGTGGATGACCCACCAGTCAAAGACCACCTGAATGCTTCCACATAATTGGACACTTCAGAAATTGGACACTTTTTAGAACACAGATGGCTAACAGTGATGTGCTGAGATCTAATCAAATATGTATGGGTTTATAAATTTTCGTCACTTCTGCAGGCCTGTGCACATTTAGTTGGTTTTAAGGCTGATTAGTATGCAGTTTGTATGTTTTATTCCAGTTGTGTATTTGTGTTTTAAAATGGATGTGTATTTATGCTTTTAATAACAACAATTTTATTGTTGTTTTATAAGAAACGAGGATAATATTAGTTAGTATAAACTGATACATATGATGTTTCAAAATGGGTGCTCTCCTTTGCTTCTGAAAAGCGCTTTTGGTTATATTACATTTTTTAACTCAGTAGAAGGCAGAAAGTCAGCTATAGGTCCTCCTGATATGAAGAAAATGAGTTGGAAGTTATGAACACCTTGTTTTACATCTTTACATAGAACCATTTAATCAGCAACAAATATGAAACTATTGTTAGAAGAAATTAATTAAATTTCTTTTATCTCTTGTGAAACAGGTGGTTCAACTCTGGTAGCTTGGATACACAGTGTGCATATCATGAGTCCACAAGCTAAAATACAAGACAGGCTTTATTTTTCATCAGCTGCTGTCTGCATGTTGGTAGTTTTGTTTGATCAGAATAGAGCAGTTATCTTTGTCCTCTCTGGCATTCAGAATTCAACATCCCCCATTAGTTAGATGACCATTGACTGACTTTTTGATGAGGCCAACAGATGACCTTGTTTTGACATGTGTTTCAGTTGATGCTACAGTTTAGAGGGGAATAATGGATAGATAATTTGTAAGTCATGTATTCAAATAATGCAGAAGAAAACCTAGGCTTTGATTATGAGGACTTGATTGAGGTTATAAATCTTCTGCATCCTTTTTTATATTTGATTTTTTAATTAAAATCAAGGTTCCTGATTCAGAGAAAAGGCAATGTTTCAACATACATATTTTCTCTAAAATAGCTGTGTATGAGCTTTTGTAAAACAACAAACAAACAACAAACAAACAATTTATTTATACCCCGCTCATCTGGCTGGGTTTCCCCAACCACTCTGGGCAGTTCCTAACCGAATGTTAAAAACACAATACAGCATTAAACATTAAACAGGGCTGCCTTCAGAAGTCTTTTAAAAGTAAGATAGTTGCTTATTTCCTTGACATGTGCTGGGACGGCATTCCACAGGGCAGACGCTACTACTGAGAAGGCCCTCTGCCTGGTTCCCTGTAACCTCACTTCTCACAGTGAGGGAACCGCCAGAAGGCCCTCAGTGCAGGACTTCAGTGTCCAGACTGAACGATGTGGGTGGAGACACTCCTTCAGGTATACAGGACAGAGGCTGTTTAGGGCTTTAAAGGTCAGCACCAATACTTTGAATTGTGCTCGGAAACATACTGGGAGCCAATGCAGGTCTCTCAGGAGTTATATGGTCTTTGCAGCTACTCCCAGTCACCAGTCTAGCTGCTGCATTCTGCATTAATTGCAGTTTCTAAGTCACCTTCAAAGGTAGCCCCACGTAAAACGCATTGCAGTAGTCCAAGCAGGAGATAACTAGAGCATGCACTCTGGCAAGACAGTCTGCGGGCAGGTAAGGTCTCAGCCTGTATACCAGATGGACAGCTGCCCTGGACACAGAATTGACCTGCTCCTCCATGGACAGCTGTGAGTCCAAAATAACTCCCAGACTGCGCACTTGGTCCTTCAGGGGCACAGTTGCCCCATTCAGGACCAGAGAGTCCTCCACACCAGCCTGCCCCCTGTCTCCCAAGAACAGTACTTCTGTCTTGTCAGGATACAACCTTAATCTGTTAGCTGCCATCCATCCTCCAACCGCCTCCAGACACTCATACAGGACCTTCACTGCCCTCATTGAAGGATTTCCCCCTGTCGTTCTTATTTGTTGTTACTTCCATAGTAAGAATCACCATAACCAGTGCTGCTTATAAGCAAATAGATTTGGCTTCAGCTTTTCAGATCAGGGTTCATACTTAGCCTATGCATGCAATGCATGAGCCATCTTACTGCTGTTGTTTAGCATATCTACGTATAGTGGTATTGTCTCTAGTGGTGACTACCTTAGGCTGCAACCAAGGGGATGACCCACCAGTTAAAGACCAGTGAATTAGACAGTTTGTGAAGAATGTGCTACAATTTTTTAAGTCTCTGCAGACTTCTTGTCACTGTCAGCTACGGTTGTAGTGCTGATACAGGCAGCTGTAACAGCTTGTTTTCAAACCCTGGAGTTGTTGCAGAGGAATAGGATTGTGACTGAAATACTATAGATTCCTTCCTTTACTTACTTCTTGGGACCAAAATACTTCTTCAGAACTCATACAGGCTTTTCCAAAATCTTATTCCAGTAAAGCAGCATGATGAGTTTTCTTAAGGTTCACCTGACATTAGCTTTCTGTACTATAGCTGGCTGGTTTGTTCATTCATCTCTACAGGATTTGGCAGGAATTGCATCCTGGTCTTATGAGTTTGGCATATTACTAAATCCTATCCTCACGTTGAAGCATCTCAGTGCTATTGAACTGTATCTCTTAACAGTGGAAAGATAATGAATATTCTAAGTTTATGAAGCTGCTGGGGAATGTCTGGCAGCAGAGTGGAAGTGAAAAGACAATTTCAAATGACAGGAGAAGGCATGCAGTTGTCCCTCTTTCTATACCATAATTGCCTGCCAGCTCCTGTGACTATGCATACATTCTGTGGCTCTTCAGAAGGAGGCTCTTCCTTCCCCCCACCACACACACACACACACACACACACACACACACACACACATTGATATTCTCACTATAGAGATACCGGTAGTTGAAATATGGGTCAGGGTGAACCTACCTTCTTTATTCACGGTCACCTACTTAATATACAGTTCATATTTCTTCAATTTTAGCATTGCTTATCTGTGAAACTCGCCTTCAAACTTTATTTTATTAGCATCACAAAAATATTAGATTCGTTTAATTTCTGCCTGAGGGGAAAAAGGAAATTCTGCATACCTATAATACTATTGGTGTTTTAACAGATTTTACATGGCCATGTAAATATGCTCACTGATTATGGTAATCGTGATAGCTATACAAGTAGTAATTACTGTGATCTGATCAGACGACTATTGCCTTTATTGTGACAGCTGTGCCATTTCCTTGGCTGATTATTATTGTGGGCCTGTATGTTCTGTGCTTATCCTAGTGCCACAAGCATCCTCTTACACTTGCTTGTACTACAGCCACTTCAGAGATTCAATGTGTCGCCTCCTGTCAAGCTTCTCTTAAAAAAATAAAAATCAGAATGGGTATGACTGCCCATGTATGCAGCCAAGATTTTCTTTGTAGCACCCTGAATCCCTATATCTCTCTTAAACTTCATAGTATGAGTTTGCAAATAGTAGATACTCCATTAAAAGTGCTGAGCAGAGTTGTTATACCTGTCCATCATGGAGGAAGCACGTCCAAAACACAAATTGTTTTCATTTTTTTAAAGTGCTGAGTGAAATCTCAGTCTACCTGATCAAACTGTTCTACCACTGTAAAAATTCACCCCATGACAAAATCCAGTAGTTTCATTTTAATGCAGCACATATATTTTAAACAGTACGCCACATATACAATCTTAGTGCCTTGTTTGAGGGAAGATGGGGAGAGAATGGCGGCTTATAGATGCTGAGGAAATGCTATAGAGGTTTTGCCTTGCCGTGCCTTGCCTTGGATGTATTTTCTGCCCACCCAGTCTCAGCTGGGGACCTCAAAATGAGCAGTGTTTTTAACACAAGACATTTCCTGAAGGATGTTGCACTGCAGGGAACTTCCCCTTTATTCTTCAAGGAGACACAGGATGAAAATCAAATTATGAAAACTGTCACTACAAGGATGGAATGTCTTTGCTAATGATAAAAATGTGGTTGTTACAAGAAGATGAAAGTTCCTAGTTTCAAACCAGTATCTATAAGCAGTAATAGAAGAAACAACTGTGCTTTTATAATACAGCATTATACAGGATGGGTTGAGGAAAATGTAGTTTACGGATATACAAGCATTTTTTCCATTGTAGCTGTGATACTTCTAAGTTTTCACTCTGTATTTGAAGCTCTGTGTGATAGTTAAGGATAAATCTTGTACAAAATATTGTCAAAATATGCATTGATTAGCTTTTTCTGTTCTAATTTTAAAAATGTAATACATTCATTTTTGGAAACATACTGGTATTCTTACTTGCATGGCATTGCACTAGAGCAGCAGTAGCTAAAGTAGTGCCTTCCATATGTTATTGGATTACAGTTCTCACCATACCTGACCTTTGACCTTGCTACCTAGGATTAATGGGAGCTGCAGTCCAATGATTTCAGGAATGCAGCACTAGCGAATGATCCAGTTTTTATAGAAACTTGCATCAGTATGTTAAATATGGTAATCTATAGAAGGAATAGGTAACCTGTGACCCTCCAAACTGTGTGGGACTCTAGTTTCCATGAGTTCCAACCAGCATGGCCAGTATTCAGGAATGATGAGAACTGTAGGCTAACAACACCAGGAAGCCTACTTTCCTGCTTGGCAGGGAGTTGGACTCGATGGCCCTTGTGGTCTATTCCAACTCTATGATTCTATGATTCTAAGTTTCCTGCTCCTGATCCGCAGCTTTCCAATACAAATGACAGCAACTGAATTATTATAGATATGCATTGATTGTATATGAAGTTTTACTTGCAACAAGCTACTGGGATCTTAATCTTAATCGCCTTTTCTATTTCTTCTTTTTGTTTAGTGTTGAGGGTGAAGCTCCTGGAAGTGAAACAGGCACATCATTGGATAGTCCCTCTACCTATCATCAAGGAGCTATAACTCACAGTTCAGCTCTAAGCCCAGACCATTACGACCATTCTCCATACGGGCTGTATTCTGTCTCCCCAGGGCAGCAAAGGCCCCGGAGGCCAAAGCTTCAACACTCAACATCCATACTCAGAAAACAAGCAGAGGAAGAAGCTATTAAAAGGTCGAGGTCACTTTCAGAGAGCTATGAACTCTCATCGGACTTGCAGGATAAGCAGGTACTTGAACTGTGCAGTTCTATGAATCAAGCTAAAGTGTCATGGAAAGGTTATTCAGCCATTCCTGGAAAATAACAGGATATTATTATTTTTGCGAGTCTGTTCCATAATTTGGCATATCTGAATAATATTAATGTTTCCTTTTTCTGTCTTTTTCCATGACTTGCTAAACAATCAGCTGATATTAATGCTTAGCGAAATGACTTTTCCTTCAAAGAAAATGCCTCCCTGTATTTGTGCTATGATTTTGCATATGTGGCTCATTGCTTAACTTGTGGAGCTGTGCCAATTTTTTTACTAGAGACTGTGCCGTTTAAACCAGAAGGACTTGGTTAGTATATAAACATACTCTTTGCCTGGCCTCTTTATTAACAAAATCCCCATGCTTTCAGTCAAGCAGTGCTTCTTTTAAGCTTTCTTTTAAAACTATGAACCAGGGTTTTTGCAGTTCTAGGCAAGATTGGCTTAATGATTTTTTTCTGCCCTACCTCTGACTCTACCAAATCCACATTACCAAGACTACAACTTTACGTGGCAAAACCCACATTATCACAAATTTCTGGTATTTCTTTTTCGAGAGGACAGACGGTTTACTTTTAAAATTAAGAAATGAACAGATGCTCATTAGAAAGCAGGCGACCAGTTAAATTATTTTACTTACCCATAAAGTTGTGAATACTACAATACTTTTTTAATAAGATATTTATTATGATTTTTTTTAAAGTATTACAATAAAAAATAAAGAAAATAGAAGGAAAAAAAATACAAAATACAAATGGTTAAAAACACTCAAATTTTCCATTGCTTATTTTTCTTTAGCTTGTTTCCCGGACCTCCTCAATTTAGGATACTTGTCAATTTAGGATCTCATTTGAAGTATTTTCATTTATATCACATCATTTGTGCTGTTTACACAGTTTAAAATGTTGAAATCTAAGATGAATATTGTAACTAGTAATCAGGACATGCTTAGTATAGGCAGAGGGCCTTCTGGGCAGTGGCACCCTCCCTGTGGAATGCCCTCCCATCAGATGTCAGGGAGATAAAGCATTTCACAACTTTTTAAAAAATCTGAAGTTCAGGGAAGTTTTTAATGTCTAGTAGTAGTAGTAGTAGTAGTAGTAGTAGTAGTAAGCGATCATGAAGAATTTATTAAAGATAGAATATTATTATTTTGACAATTCATTAAGGGCCTACAATTTTTGAAACTGGATAAAGATAAAATGATTCAAACATGATGAGTTCTTCATTCCTCCTTTTGCCCTTATTCATCTCTCTCATCATAAGCTTGCCAGGAGCACTGAGTTGACTGCTGTTGGAGACATACTGCTGAACCAGATTGACCCCTCCTTTATGTTCTTATTTTGAATAAAGGGAATTTCTTTATGGTCTGCCTGCTGTGGCCAGGTGCAGACATAATATTCCCAATTGACTAGATTGTTTGTCCTCTGACCTTTGTGAATACTTCCCCTCTTCCTTGGTTTCACCTTAACCATTACATTTGCATCGGTACTAACTATGGTTCATGCTAATCAGCATTGCCCTCATAATCATGAACTTGAAGTGGGTTTGCACCTAGTTATGAGGGAATCTAGTGAATGTTAATAAATGCAGATAGAACATTGTTGCATAACTAAAGCAAACAGATGCCATGAAGGGGCAGTGGCGCTTACCTGACCTCCTAATAGCTGAGTCGCTGCTGCATACCAGAAGGGAGAGAGGACAGCCAAGTCGCTGCCAGCGATTTTTCACTGCATTGACCTGTCCCATTACACAGTAATGATTCAGCTCTCGGGAGGGCAGGTAAGTGCTACCACCCCACCATGTCATCCTGTACTAAAGCAAACCATGGAACAACAGCAGCAGCAACAACAACAACAATTTATTTATACCCCGCCCAACTGGCTGGGTTTGACCAGCCACTCTGGGTGGCTCCCAACAGAATATTAATAACAATAATAATAAAGCGATAAAACATCAAGCATTAAGCATTAATGGAAGGTAAATAAGGGTTCGTATAGAGGAGGGGAATACAGATGACTGCAACATGTTCCTGGTATTCTTACTGTGAATTTGGAAGCAGAATCATTTGAAAGCAAATAAAGCATGCCTGTCCAATAGTTTAGTACAGTAAAATGACTTGTGATATTGAGACTATTAACTGATCTTTTTTTAAAAAAAAATGCTTGAGGGGGAAAACCTCAACATTTTTTTTATTAAAAGTAATCACTGCAAGCAGTTCTATAATGTGAGCTTCAGCTTAATTCAAATTTTAACATCCTATTTTTTTACTACTTTGCCTCTTTTAAAAATACACCACTGCAGTGATGAGAATCATTGGCAGTGTATCATATCGGTGTAGCCAAGGATTTTCATAATTGCAAATGCACACTGAATTCTTGGTGGAAAGAATATAAAATAGATTAACATGGATCGTAATAACTCTTGTTAAATCTCCTGCGGGTATCTGTGAAGCAGACAAGTTTTCTCCCAATTCATGCAAGGAAAGCCTGAGGGAGAAAGTTTAAGTGTGAAATGTCATCAGTAAAATTGTTCATAACTGTTGAAAGGAAAATCTGACAAGGAATTGATTCAATTATACTCCAAAGGCACAGAGAATGCAATTTCTTGCTTTGTTAAAATTTCATGTATGCAGCATATACAGTGGTACTTCGTAAGTCGAACAGAATCCGTTCTGGAAGTCCATCCGACTTCCAAAACATTCAGAAACTAAGGCACGGCTTCCGATTGGCTGCAGGAAGCTCCTGCAGCCAATCGGAAGCCACATTGGACGTTCAGGTTCCAAAGAACGTTCGCAAACCAGAACACTCACTTCCAGGTTTGCAGCGTTCAGGAGCCCAAACACAAGGCGTTCAGGATCCAAGGTACGACTTTATTGGAACATAGGAAGCTGCCTTATATGAAGTCATACCATTGGTGCATCTAACTCAGCATTGCCTGCACTGACTGGTAAGCAGCTATCCAGAGTTTCAGACAATGGACCCTTCCAGTCCTGTCTGAGGATGCTAAGAACTGAACCTGGGATTTCTGTGTGCAAAGCAGATCCTGAGCTATGGCCCTTTCCATGGTGTGGCCACTCTAAACATAATTTAAGCATAGGAAATGCAAGGTTCAGTAACTGGTATCATTAGTTCTATAAAGGAGCAATGCAACATGACCATAGGAAACTCTTCACTTTTCTTTTAATACAAGTTAGTTGCAGACCTAAAAAAATACTTCTTCAAGTTCAATTACAAAAACCGTTTGCATTTAATGTGGTTGAGTAAATAACTATTTTTGCCAAATTCTTTTCATAAAGAATGCTAGTTGTTCTATTTAATTCTTATCTAAATTCTAACTGCTTGTATCAGCATTTTAAAAAAACCACACACCTCTTTATTTTATTTATTTTGAGATTTCTATCCCATACTTCTAGTATCTAAGCACTACTCGTGGAAGCATACAATTTAAAATCACTACGCCATGTGCAATTTAAATTGTTGCACTTGTTTTATGTGAAAGTAAGTTTTGCAGAGGTAAGTGTCATATCTATCTGTGTTAATAAAATATACTTGTGAGACAGTTATGAAAAGTATCTTCTTGGTGGATCATTTTATGTGCACTTGTACAGGTAATTTTCTATTGTCATGAGGTGGCCTTTACTTACTGAGCGTATTTCCATCTCAGAAATCTTTTTAGATCGTAAGGTTCCTAGGAGATACATTTTTCTGAGCTAATTTTGAAACACTTATTGCCTCAGTACTGTATTAGAGAGCCATGCAGTAAGCACTCTTAGTGCATGAGTATTATCAAATATTTATATTTTCTTTTTAGGTTGAAATGCTAGAACGGAAATATGGAGGCCGTCTCATAACTAGACATGCCGCTCGTACTATACAGACTGCTTTTCGCCAGTATCAGATGAACAAAAACTTTGAGCGGCTTAGAAGTTCTATGTCTGAAAATCGTATGTCAAGACGCATTGTTCTATCCAATATGAGAATGCAGTTTTCGTTTGAAGGACCTGAGAAAGTCCACAGTTCTTACTTCGAGGGGAAGCAAGTTTCTGTTACAAATGATGGGTCAAAACTAGGAGCCCTTGTCCAATCTGAATGTAGTGACCTTGGAGAATCGGCTACAATGAAATCTCCAGCAGCGTCCACCGACTTTGCTGATGCCATAACGGAACTGGAGGATGCTTTTTCGAGACAAGTAAAATCTCTTGCCGAGTCTATTGACGATGCATTAAATTGTCGTAGCATGCACTCTGATGAGGTACAGATACCCGATCAAGTCAGAAGTCGGGAAATAGAGAGGGACAGTTGTCAAACTAAACCAACAAGCCATAATGTGGACCACAGGAAACTTGATGAAATGACTGCATCTTATAGTGACGTTACATTGTATATTGATGAAGAAGAACTATCCCCACCACTTCCTCTTTCCCAATCAGTAGATAGGCCATCTAGCACAGAATCTGACCTAAGACTTCGGTCAATGAACCCATCTCAAGAGTACTGGTCTATGACACACAAGGATCATAAGATAGATACTGACACGAGCTGCAGAAGTACCCCTTCACTAGAATCCCAGGAACAAAGAATGAGAATGGATCATTTGCCTTTGCTAACTATAGAACCACCTAGTGACAGTTCAGTGGACTTAAGTGATCGCTCAGAGAGGGGATCATTAAAGAGACAGAATGCATATGATCGAGGAATTACTAGTACGCAAGGTAGTCCCAAGCATATCTCACATGGCATCCCTACCAAGATAATTTCCCGAGAGGACCAGGAGACTAGACATAGACCAAGGCCTATTGATAGCCACTTAGCCATTAATGGCACAGCAAACAGGCAAAGCAAATCTGAGTCTGATTATTCTGATGGAGACAACGATAGCATTAATAGCACTTCCAATTCCAATGACACAATAAACTGCAGCTCAGAGTCTTCTTCTCGAGACAGCTTAAGGGAACAAACACTGAGCAAGCAAACGTACCATAAAGAGACTCGCAATAGCTGGGATTCTCCTGCCTTCAGTAATGACATCATCAGGAAACGTCACTACAGGATTGGATTGAACCTTTTTAATAAGTGAGTACAATGCATTTTTTACATAGAAAAGAAATTTATCGCCAAATCACAGGATAATTAGATGTTTCTGCAGCTCCATTGTGAAGGTTAACATGATCTCCAACAATGGCTGTCTTTGGGTGTCATGCTAAACCAGGGTTGGGGTTGGACTGCAACTCCTATCATCCCTGATTATTAATAATGCTTTCTGGGGCTGATAGGAGTTGAAGCCAAATATGGAAGACCACAGGTTCACTATCCATGTGCTAAGCTATGGTTTAGCAAGGTGTGGGTGAGCCCAGCCTCCTCCTAAACATGCAGCCAGAAGGATGAGTTTAGAAATTTATACCATGGTTTGTTGTGTCATCCGGACCAACAAACGGTGGTTAGTTTCAAGCATCCAGCATCGAACCATGGTTTCTGAAGTAGTTTGTTTGAACTAACCATAGTTCACCATAGCTTCATGTTCTGATGAAATAGCAAGCTGTGGTTAACAGATAGCAGAAGCAAATTCTTTCAAATTCCTCCTGTGAGCGTGTTCATGTGTCACCAGACCATAGTTTAAAGTCATGTCTGATGCAGCCCTTTTGTGTGCACACTTGTCTTTTCCCTGTTTTCAGCATGTTTACTTTCTTCTCTCTTCCCACCCCTGCAGTTGCCATTTTACTGCTTTAAATGCCAATTTATTTATTTATACATACATACATACATACATACATACATACCCCGCCCATCTGGCCAGGTTTCCCCAGCCACTCTGGGCAGCTTCCAACAAAACACTAAAATACAGTAACTTATTAAACATTAAAATCTTCCCTATACAGGGCTGCCTTCAGGTGTCTTCTAAAAGTTTGGTAGTTATTTTTCTCTTTGACATCTGAAGGGAGGGCGGTCCACAGGGCGGGTGCCACTACCGAGAAGGCCCTCTGCCTGGTTCCCTGTAACTTGGCTTCTCACAGCGAGGGAACCGCCAGAAGGCCCTCGGCGCTGGACCTCAGTGTCTGGGCAGAACGATGGAAGTGGAGACGCTCCTTCAGGTATACTGGACCAAGGCCGTTTAGGGTTTTAAAGGTCAGCACCAACACTTTGAATTGTGCTCGGAAATGAACTGGGAGCCAGTGCAGGTCTTTCAAGACCAGTGTTATATGGTCTTGGCAGCCGCTTCCAGTCACCAGTCTAGCTGCCGCATTCTGGATTAGTTGTAGTTTCCGGGTTACCTTCAAGGACAGGCCCATCTGCTGCATCCAACCAAGTTCTGTTATAGATGCCAGGTCAAGTCCTCCATCCATGATCAAGTCATGGATGGCAGTGGTCTTATGAATCATTGACCTGGCATTGCACAGCAGCATCTTCAGGTCATGTGGGTATCCCTTGCTGATTCTAGTATTCGTCCGGTCAGGACCAGACCCAAGGTGTGTATCTTGGACAAGTAGTATTTAAAACACACACACACACACACACACAGAGAGAGAGAGAGAGAGAGAGCCCTTTTGTTGTCCTTCATATAAGAAACATTTTCTTTTAAGCAATGTTAAAAGGACAAATAAGTTTTTTCCACTCATCCATTACTGTTATAATCCAGTGCCATCAGAAAACAGTCATGTTGGGGTGAAATCCAGTGTTAAACACACTCAGAATAGACCCACTGAAATCAAGGAAATAGGTCTACTCTTATGGCTTAGTTGGATATGACCCATTTTTTATAAATAATTAACAATTAACAAAGCTATTTGCTCTGGCCAGAGTGTGCTTGTTAAAAATTATTTGTTTTTCCAAAGGGCTTCCTTACTTTCCTTAAGCATATATGCTTTTTGACGTAACTGGCAGTGCTTTCCTTCCTGATTACTTCATATCTAAATATTATAAAACAGGCTGTCTACATATTATTGTAATAGATTTAATCCTGAGCATGGAGTTTAATTTATTCAGTACCATATGGGTTAAGTTAGTATTGCCGATACTGTAGTGGCTGATTGTCAAAATATTTTTTCACACACTACATATACTTTATTTTCCATGTAATACAATGTATAAAAATTGCATATTTTAAATTTATAATTTCTTCTTTTGAGACAGCATGGAACTAATACAGATGGCAGAAGGTAATAAATAGTGATTTTTAAAAATCAATGTATTGTTAGCCTTACAGTAGCCTAGTGGAAGAGTTAGATCTAATTAAATTAGTGTAATCTGATTATTCTATTCATTGGCATAGTCCTGCTTACCTTTGATTGCTCCCAATATGTTCCATAAAGGCCTTTGTACACTGTTGGGGCGAAAGAAAGGTATAATCTACCATTCTGCTGTTCCATGCACAACTGGAGGGGCGTACACTGACGGCTCAGAGCCTCAACAAATGTGGGTACACAGGGCTAGGAGACTTTATTGACCCAGCAGGCATGCAATAATTCATGTTGTTGTGGTTGCCAGGCGCACTGACAGCAGCTCCTCCTCTGAAGCACAAGCTGTGTCGCCCTGTTACTTGGCAAGGAGCTGTTGCAGCTGCTTATGCAGTCACAATTATTGTTGCACAGCTGGAGATAGGACAGAGGTTTACTGGAGCCATACTGCCTGTACAGGTGGAAGAAAGAATCAGCGCAGCTGCTGTGGCTCAAGCTGCAAACGTTTAGGATAATACTGTAGTAAATTTTGCCATCATTAAAGGGGCATATTTATAGCACTAAGGAAGTTTGTGTGAAATACATACACAACTGGCTTGTGTTGAACACCATGGCTTGGCATTGAATGTGTGAGCTTTGGGGTCATTTGCCTCCTCCTCCCTGTTGCAGGAATGCCAAGGTCTGGTGTGCCATTTGAATTGGCAAGCTACTGTAGGTTTTTGCCTTCCAAACCAGAACTGGGAAAATGTCCTTTACATTGGTTTTTTTCTTCCGGTTTGGAGGGCAGTTTGGAGTTAATTTGTTTGGGACTTCCGGAGGCGGCGCGTTCAGCAATGGCGGTCCTCTTCAGCTGCTGAAGAGGAGCTCCGCGGAAAAGGGTCGTGCGCTGCGGCACAGCGACGACCCACTAAGAGAAACCACGGGTAGAGTGAGCCCGTGGCCGTGGGGTTCGGCGGGCACCAGAAGCGACCTCGGAAACGCAGAAGAGACCCCGTAAGGGGCCTTGGAACGTGGAGGGGGTAGCGGTGCTGTGAATCCATCGCTCTTTCCGCGGAAGTGAAGCCGCGCGGCTGCTGCTGATCGGCGCTGACCTTTCTTCTTTGAACAACAGAATTGAAACAACCTACTCGTGAGTAAGAAACCTGAGGCTTAACTGAACTTAATTTGGCGAATTTTGGCTGAAAGCGGGAGACGCTAAAAAGGAAGTCAGTCTTCCGCTCTGTTTAAAGTATCGAGCAAAGTCCCTTTAAAGTTGAAGCGCTGAAAGGAACTTAAAAGGAGTTGGAATGTACTCTGCAAATTCGGCTTTGATTGATTAAAAGTTAAAGAAAGGATACAACAGTTTTATAAGTGAGCAAAGACTGTGATCCTCTTTCTATTCCCATGTGGATTACAAAGTTTTGAAACCCTGCTCTCGGTCTGATCAGATACAAGTAACATCGGACTGCGGTAACTGTAGATAAAATTATCAAGTTACATTGGGCTACTTTGTAAATTGCAAAAAGGAACTGTCGCATGCACCTCGGCAAAGAACTTTTATTCTCTGCAGTTTAAATTGAATGTGAAGGGTTCCCCCCCTGCTTTGGATAATTTTTTTCTTTTTGTGGTTGCGGGAACTTAATGGTGGAAATTTCCTATCCTTCTCCCTAATTTCTGGGGAGCTCCCCCTGCTGGATTGTGGAATTATTAGTCTCTGAGAACTGCTACTGGTCTTGGAATTTTTTCTATCTGGATGTTTACTTTCTTTGGGATTGCTTTTCCCATGGGATTTACAATTTGACCTTGACACTGGGACAGCTGTGGAATGAGTGGTTCAGCAAAAACAAGGGCTGGAAAGAAAGCAAAACAAACGGAACTTTTACAATCAACTTTGCCTGTGCAGTTACGCAGATCATCTGTTCCAATTTTGACAGGTCTGCAGGAAGGACAATCTATACAGCCTACTCTTGGAGAGATGGCTGCTGGAGGGCTAGATCCTGTCTCTAAAGAAATATTGGAGCAGTTGGCAGCACTGAATAAGAAAGCTGACGAACAAGCAGCTAGGTTTGATGAACAAGCTGCTAAATTTGACCAGGTGACAGCCTCAATTAATAAATTGACAGACCAAGTCACTAAAAATACACAGGCAATAGGTAACATTGAAAAGTCTACAACAGAAAATCGAAAACTAGTCGAGGAAGTAAATACAAAAGCAGACGAAAACAAAAAGAGGATAGAGGAATTAAGAGGGGAAGTTAGACCACTGAGTAGACAGGTTTCTGAACAACAAGTGTACCTGTCCCTTGCAGAACTGAAAAATAGGGAAAATAATCTCAGAATTAGAAACATCCCAGAATTAGAAAAAGAGGACCTGATTGGCTTTTTGACAACAGAAATAGCTAAATTCTGGGGTCTGGCAGAAGAGAAAGACTTTAAAATCGTCACCGCTTTCAGATTAGGAAGAGTGGCTAAGAAGGATAAACCAAGAGATTGCCTGATCATTCTGAGATCTAGGCAAGAAAAAGAAAACATACTCGGCTTGCATTTTAAAAACTCATTGGTGATTCAGGGAAAAAAGGCAGAAATCTTCAGAGATATACCAAAACAGCTACTGGATTTAAGAGCTACATATAAAGACCTAGCAACTTTACTGAGAAACAACACAATCCCTTACAGGTGGGAATTCCCTCAAGGACTATCTTTTACTTTGAAAGGGGAGAAGGTAAGAATCAGAACAGCAGAGGAGCAAGAAAAGTTCCTAAAAGACCACGGGGAGGACCTTCGGAAAGGAATAGCAGGTGTCTGGCCACCTCCTTCGTTTGGACTGAACCCGGCTCCACCTCCAGACAAAAACGATAAAGGAGACACCCCAACAGGCCAATAACTGGTCCGAGATGTCTCTGCAGCTTCTCAGTTGGAACA